GGAAACACTTCTGTCCCGTAGTCTACACTATCTTTCCTCTTTTGGCAATACAACAACGTATTCACTATTTTACTTGCTTGCACGATTCTCCCTGTGGGAGACATTTTGTGTGCCGTTTTTTAAGTAAGTGTGCACTTTTTCTTTTTAATTGTTGGGAAAAATAGCAAATAAAATTTTTGTATAAGTTGCCTCTACCTTTAGTGTCACTATCACCGATTGGGCAGTCGCAATCCGATTTTTCGCACACGGGGGAAACGGATCCCCTCAGATCCGACACCAGTGATTATTATCAGATTTTCGCTGATAAATCGGAGCTGACAAAAAACACGTCCGATCTCACAGCCGCATACACATGTGTAAACGGATTGGCTTGTCGCTCGGTTTGTATGTTAGCTACATATATATGTCACACAATTGATCCCGAGTAGTAGTTTTCAGTTGAAGGACTGAACTGAATAAGCTTTACGATAGTGGAATTCGTGGCTGTAAAGTATTCCGACTTGAAGTTTACTTTAATAAAAATTACATTATATACTTAAATAAATCAAACAACATTAAATGTTTAAAATTACAAAAAGTTTGAAAGTAAAAACATATTTTTTACAAATAGTAAATTGTAAGTACTCATATTTACTCAATTTTAAACACTTTGTGTGTAATTTTTCTCAACGTGACAAATTTGGTATGTAAAAGTAAACAGACAGTGTTTAATTCTGCTCACATTACGAGAGGAAACTGGCTACCTCCCTTTATATGCGTAATTTAAAAAAAATAAGAATTTAGCGGAAACTTTAAAGGCTGATTCACATACAACTTTCTTCGCTTTGCTTGATAGTTCTTTGCTTTGACATATAAGATCGATGTAGGCATATGCATGAGTATGCTCACATAAAAAACGTTTGAAGCAAAGCAAAGCAAAACGAAGCAAAATTTTGGGCAACTCTCAACTTTTGCCCGCTTTGGCAATCAGCTGTCTACATGTATCTTTTCTCATCCGCTTGCATTTGCATTTAATGATAAAAATAGGGGAAAAAGGAATTATTAATGCATATTATTATATTGTTATCTACACTCTAAAAAGTGCATGTAAAACTACTACTGAAAAGCGTTTATTTTTCAACCAGAATCTGTTCAAGTATACGCACAAGATGTTCAAGATTTGATTTTGAACATGAGTTGTTTAAAATACACACATGAAATGTTTAAAATTACAAGCATTTTGAAAGTAAAAGCATATTTTTTACAAATAATAAATACTAATTGCCAGGGGCGCACGCAGGAATATATTTTTGGGGGGAAAGGGTTTATACTTCTAAATATATATCATCAGCAAATACTGAAAATTCGCTCTTTAAAATACATTTATGAAAGTTTTATTTACAGTATGAAATAAATAAATAAACTTTTTAAAGTATCATCAATTGCATTTTATTTACATAAAATTTACAAAGAACTCAGACATTTTTAACCGGCTTCAAAAAAGGGGAGGTTATCAATTCTTCGGAGTATTTTTACTTCTTTTATTTATTCCACCGCATAACTTTGCACCGCGTGAAACGATTCCAATAATTACTTGTTTTACCGGAAAGATGGTACCCTAAGGGTCGTCTCGTAATTTGGTTTAGATCCGATCATTAAATCATGAAAAAATTAACGGTTAAAGATGCACTCAACTTTCAAAAGTAATACAAAATTTTACAAAAGAATTTAATATAAATAAATTAAATAATTTCACGAAATTTTTACACTTTCTTATTAATTTTCGTCGATTTCTGGCTTCTCATTTTTTAATAATTCGAATAACGAAAATTTAACTGAACTTGTATTTTTATCATGTAGCTCATTTTGGTGGAACGAATTCGAAGTTAGCAAATTAAATCTTCGAATGCTTATTAAGTACATATCAGTGTGTTTAGGTCCGCGACCTAAATATATTGCACCACCCTAATACGCGTTTTGTCACTTCATGTAAGAGCACACAAACACATATATAAGTTACGGCTAACTTTCCAGCCGCTAACAATGAGCCCCAATTAACGAAAGTTACTGTGCGGTGGGCTACATCCCTTTTCGTTTTGTTAGCAATTTTTCACTTCCTAGAAGACAGCATGGAGATCACGTCAGCTATCGCACCACGTTCGGTAAGCCAACTCTTGTGTGCCACACTATTCAAACTCATCGATATTTACAAATAAAACGACTTTTAATTTCATTGCACTAAAACCACTGTGTCTTATTTATTCTCATTTTCGTTACATTAACTTTACTCTGGTGCGCTCCATCTTCGTGCGACGCCACCTGCGTAAATACAGTGGTAAACTTTTTTAGGCTGTACAGTGTAAAAAGCAACAGTAAGTGAGTATGCATTGCATATTTTTAGGATAATGTTTTCATTCGCGGTTAAAGTTTAAAGGGCTTTCAAGAAAAAAAGAAAAATTCGTACAAAATGACGCACAAGAAAAGGAAAAGAAAATTTTTTCTTTCAAATTTTCTTATATCATAATAAATTTAGCCCTAAAACCCACCCCTTGTGTGCGCTACGTGACAAATTTGATATGTAAAAGTAAACAGACATTGATTAATTTTGCACACACTAGGAGAGGAAACTGGTTACCTATCTTTATATGCGTAAATTTAAACGAACATTTTTTAGAGGAAATTTTAAACATTTTATGTGTAAACTGTGAAAATGTGAACAATAAATGTTTAAAACTCAAAAAAAAGTGAAATTTGTTCTACACCACACATATGATAAGTAAAAGTAAGCAAGCAGTGTTTAAATTTGCATTCATTAAGAGAGGAAACTGGTTACCTATCTTAATATGCGCAAATTTAAACAAAAATTTTTTAGAGTGTATTTTACAGATAAAAAATATGGAGGAAAAGAAGAACGCAAAATCTGTCAAAGCGTTTATTGTAGCATACCTTCTGCGTTTCACGCTTTGTTGTCAAAGTTTGAACTGTCAAGCAAAGCGAGGAAAGTCTTATGTAAATGGCCCTTAAACGTTTTATGTGTAATCTGTGAAATTGTAAACAATAAATGTTTAGAACTCAAAAAACTAGTTTGAAATTTGTTCTACGCCACACATGTGATAAGTAAAAGTAAACAAGCAGTGTTTAATTTAATTAACACGGTGTGTAAATTTGCACTAAGAGAGGAAACAAAGAAGAAAGATTTAAAGAAAACTTTTTAGAGTGCAGCATTAGAATGAAAAAACATATATATGCCCTTCCTAAATTTCTTTCTTCATGTTCATATGTGTAAAATGTAGTAAAAAATTTACCAAAGAAATACAACTGAGTCAAAGAACTATGTCCGGATAACAGTATGTTGGTCAAAGAGAGTTAGAGCGCAGTTACCCACGAACGTGTACGAGCGTTGAGAAACATATTAAGTTTGCGTAGAAACACATCGTCATTTAAAGTACAAAATCGCATATCATTAAAATGCAAAAGCGCGTATAAAAATAATGCAAAACCGCGTATGTGAGGTAGCATAAATTATTTTCTAGAAAGTAAAAACCCAATCAATCGCAATCGCATTTCTGGCTAGTATATTTTAGGACGAATAGATAAGGCTTGAGCCAAGAGCTTGTGTGAGCAAATCAAATTTTTGGCAAAAAATGTCAGTTACGCGGTTTTGCAGACGACGATACGCGGTTTTGTACTTTAAACGACGATATCAAGTTTGCTGTTGATAGAGAGAGGGAGAGAGAGAGAGAGAGTAGCAACGTCTACGTCACGGTCATGCGGTGGTGAGGTTTTGTTAACACGCAGATCCCATAAGATTGATTGTGTCAGCTAACACTTTCTCCGTTTTTAGGTCCGTTGGTAACTGTACTTTAAGAAATTAAACAAACTTAGAAAAAGTGCAGTGACGAGGGATCATTTAACCGTCTGCGTAGCAGTACGCTAAGCGAAATTGCAACGCCAATTCTTGGTTTTAAAAATACACTCTAAAAAGTGCATGTAAAACTACTACTGAAAAGTATTTATTTTTCAACCAGAACCTGTTCAAGTATACGCACAAGATGTTCAAGATTTGATTTTCAACATGAGTTGTTTAAAATATACACATAAATATACACATGAAATGTTTAAAATTACAAACATTTTGAATGTAAAAATATATTTTTTACAAATAATAAATACTAAGTGCCAGGGGCGCACTCATACCAATAATTCTTTTTTTACCGGAAAGATGGTACCTTAAGGGTCGTCCAGTAATTTAGTTTAGATCCGATCATTAAATCATGAAAAAATAACGGTACTCCTAAATTTGTTATGATAATTGAAGTCGGTTTTGCTTTTTGCTTAAAAATTACTTGTTTATTAAAAAGTTATATATTATAATGAGTGCATCTTGACTCAACTTTCCACAGTAATACAAAATTTTACAAAAGAATTTTAGTATAAATAAATTCAATAATTCCATGAAATTTTTACACTTTTATGTTCATTTTCGTCGATTTCTGGTTTCTCATTTTCTTAACACTTCTTAATAATACTGGGGTTTTAACCCCAAAACCCACCCCTTGTGTGCGCTAATGCTAAGTGCTCATATTTACTCAACTTTAAACACTTTGTGTGTAGTTTTTCTCTATGTGACAAATTTGGTATGTAAAAGTAAACAGACAGTGCTTAATTTTGCACACACTAGGAGAGGAAACTGGTTACCTCTCCTTATATGCGTAAATTTAAACAAAATTTTTTTAGAGCAAACTATAAACATTTTATGTGTAAACTGTAAAATTGTGAACAATAAATGTTTAGAACTCAAAAAACAAATTTGAAGTTTGTTCTACGCCACACATATGTTAAGTAAAAGTAAGCAAGCAGTGTTTAATTTTGCTTACACAGGAGAGGAAACTGGTTACCTATCTTAATATGCGCTAATTGAAACAAAAATTTTGTAGAGTGTATATGAATATTATTTCCTCTGATGTGAGGAACCTATAAACACAGTTTGAAATTAATAAACACATATATTATTTTTCAGACACAAAAATAAGATGCGCAACGTAGAACGAAATGCCAAGCATGGTCATGAAGAAGTTGTTGAGCTGACCACATCCAGCCAACATCACCAGGAACTGCTCAACATAGAAGGAGAACTAGATGTTAACTCGAGTGGTAAGTTCAGCGCACATTGTAACATCTCCATACAAACTGCGGCCAAAATTAGTATACGTGCTTCGAAATAATAAATTGGATCCAATTCTTAAGAAACACAGTTCTTCAATTTGCTACAAGTCAAAAAGTATAAACCTGAAGTATGGTGAAGATGGACATTTTAATTAAATTAAGCATTAGCATCCACAAGGGTTCAATCTTTGGTCAAAGCAACATCGCAAAAAAATTAGAAAAAGGTTTCTTCTTAACAACGGCAGGCAATGGCTAACCTCCGAGTGTATTTCTGCCATGAAAAACAGCTTCTCATAAAAATACAATCGCCTCCCTTTTGTGTGACAACATCAAGACGCACGCCAGAAATCGGGGGAGAAACTCGGCCAATCTATTATTATTACTAGCAGACCCGGCGAACTTCGTCCCGCTCAAAATTAATTTTTTTATTGGAACATCTGGTCCAACGTTTTCGCCAGCAATTCACGTTCACGTTTGGATTTTGGTCCATTGCCGTCTTAAATAACCTGACGAAAGCGTTATACCGGGAAGAAGTCCTTGCGGCTCGATAGTGAATCCTCCTCTAATCTGTATAGTATAGTTGGTGGCAATTTCTAAACTGATTTCTGATGGTTGATTTAACAGGAGTAATTTAACTTTGATCCCTGGCGCCTCCGAATCGACTATTTGAAGCAATAACTCGGCTCCAGTGCCACTAAAAATTATCATTAAAATCGTTTCGGTCGTTTAGGAGGAGTTAAGCCACCAGAATAAGTCTTTTACATACTTCCCATATAAAAAAAACTCTCACTCATTTGTTATACGGAGAAAATGCGCAACATCATCAGCGAAAAAAATTCTCAAAAATCAGGTATCTTATAGCCATTAAAAACTTGCACTTTATGATACTTAAATTGAGTGAACTACAAAACTGCATACTCAAAATTTGGTGCCTTTTGATGCAAAATGAACTATGTATATATATAAAACAAAGTCGTGTTAGTTACACTGTTTATAACTCAATAACGGCTGGACCGATTTTTATGATATTTGTTTTTTGAAATTGTCTACCTTCCGAATAGCAGAATAGCTATTACAACAACCAGCGCCACGGAGTCGAGTACTAGTAAAACCCGTATTTATGGTCCGATTCGCCTCATATTTGAGATATGTATTGACAATAGGAAAAGTAATACCATTGCAAAAAAAGGGCCACCAGGTGGAGTAGGAGTCAAGTTATTACTAAAAATCGTGTTTATGGTCCGATTCGTCTCATTTTCGAGATATGTATTGACAACAGAAAAACAATACTATGGACAAAAAGAGCCGCCAGGTGGCGTTGGTGTCAAGTTATTACTAAAAATCGTGTTTATGATCCGATTATCCTCCGACTCAAAATATGTATTGATAACAGGAAAAAGAATTCTTACGAAAAAAATTTGCCGCCAGGTGGCGCTGAAATTGAGTTACATATGTATATGTTACTAAAAATCGTATATAATCGTATAATCGAAATATATGAATTCACATATCGATGGTCCTCTGCAATAACGACACAACTCAAAGTTGTAAAAATTAAATCCCTGATTACTGTTAAGAAGATCATGTCTCTAATCCTTGGCTAACCCATGTCTAATCCTAACTAAATTAAGAAGTAAAGATTATACATGAATAGGAAAATGATTAAAGACATGAGTCACTTAACAATAGTACGAGATTTTATTTTTTGAATTTTGAATTGTGTCGCTATTGTAGAGGACCATCGATATATTTATGACAGGAAAGGATACATATGTATGTATACTTATGCAAAAAAACGAAATTCAGTCGAAAACCGCCGTTTACGAACAGCTGCTCCTTATCTATATATATAAAAATGGTGTGAAAAATGTATAGTAATTAATCAATTGAGAACGGTTGGGCCGATTTGGCTAAATTTTTTCTTTAGTTGTTGGTAATTTCCAGAAGGAAAATTTTGGGAAAACCCTCCGGGACAGTCGAGAAATTGGAAAAATTTATAATTCGTGTTTTGTATGGTATTTTGTGTGCTATTCCTTCTGAATAGCTTTCGAATGGAAAAATAAAAAACTTTAAGTGGAAAACTCGGAAAAATCCGAAAAAAACGCAAAAAATTTGAATTTTTTTCTACGAAAGCTTGGAAAATTTCGGATAATTGTGAAATTCATTGGGATATTGAATCAATTGGGAACAAATTTCATAACCGATTCGAATGCGTGCTACTTTTTTGGAAAGGTGTTTAGAACAAGGAGTGCACAAAATTTGTATATTTCCGATAGGTGGCGAATGCATTTGGTTCGTTGGTAGCCTTTTGCCTAGATTAGTATATAGGATTCATTTTTTTCCGTTAAGTGAGCCAGGGACCGATCTATTCGAAAAAGTCTTATTTATGGTCCGATTTGCTTGAAATTTAGCACGTAGGTAGCTCATTGGCCGGGTTAACATAAAGGATATTTTTTCTGATTTCTGATTCTTGAGTTATAAATGGTGCAACTAACACGACTTTGTTTTATATATATAGATTATTAGCATGAAATAAAACAACTATTACCCCCTTTAAGTATATATCCATTTATGACATGTCCCATACAAGAAACTCGAAATTGGTTAACATACTTTAACCTAAATGCTGGGTAAGTGGCGCGCCCATTTCTAACAAATAATTATACAATACCACCGAGCATGGGCGTAGCCAGGTAAGGGCAGGGGGGGTTCTGGTCAAAATTTTTGCCTATATATTCAAAAATGGTACCAGGAACTGCTCAATAATTTAGCCAAGTGCGCTCTGCACAATCTACAAGAAAGGCGACCCCGCCATGCGTGCCAACTATTTTATCGAGCGTGTTGTGTGAAATACGGAACCCACCGTCAATGAACTGATTGAGCCTTATCAGTGTGGATCTAGGCCTGGCAAATCCACCATAGACCAGGTATTCACAATACGCCGTGAGAATAGGATCGACACTTGCCTTCTATTTGTAAATTTCAAGGCCGCTTTCGACAGCACGAAAAGAAATTGTCTTTGTTTCGTCATGTCTCAATTTCGTATCCCCGCGAAACTAAAACTGCTGTATAAAATGGCGTTGAGCAATACCAGCTCCGTTCGAATTGAGGAGGACCTCTCCGAGCCGTTTGATACTAGTCCCTTTCGTGTGATTTCTTTAATCTGATGTTGGAGAAAATAATAAAAATCGCAGAACTGAACCGCTTAGGCACAAAACTTTACATACAATTCTGGCGTATGCCGACCACGTCGACATTATTGTTTCAAATAATAGCGACGCCTGTTCTGCCTTCCCGAAATTAGATAGAGAAACAAAGCATGTGGGTCTGGTGGTGAACGAAGACAAAACGAAGTTTCTCCTGCCATCACACAAGTAGTCAGCGCATTAGCACCTTGGCATCCACGTCCCTGTTGACAGTTACAATTTCGAGAAAGTGGAGAAAATCCTTTACTTGGGAATCAGCATTAACACCGATAATAATGTCAGCAGCGAAATTCAATGCAGAATCACTCTTGCTAACAAGTGCTACTTCGGACTGAGTAGGCAATTGAGAAGTAAAGTCCTCTGGCCGTACAAAAATCGTACTCTATAAGTCACTCATCATGCCTGTGCTGGTTTATGGCACGGACGCATGGGCAATGAAAACATCTGATGAGGTGGCTCTTGGAAAGAAAAATTATGCGAGAGATGTATGGGCCTTAACGCATTAGCGGCAGAAAGGACATAGTGCTTCGAATCAAAATACAACGGCTACTCTGGCCTGGTCATGTCGTAGAAATGGACAGAAATGCTCCAGCTCTAAAAGTATTCAACGCGGGTCGCTATGGTGGAAGAGGAAGGCCCACTGGGATGGACGGACCAAGAAAGACTTGGCTTCACATGGCATTTCCACGACTTGCGTACTGTATTGGACTCGGCCAAAATCGCTTAGGCGGTTATAGCCCCAAATAAGAAGAAGAAGAAAAAGTTTGTGCGTCCCAGATGCATTTGCTCAAGCGAGTAATGGTCTAGACCCATAAGCAATGTATAGCCGTCATCGATTCG